TATATATATATATATATATATATACATACAGTTTTCCAATATTATTTATGGGAGACTGTCCTTTCCCTAATGAGAGTTTTGGGTATCTTTGTTGAATATCAGTTGGCCATAAATGCATAAATTTATTTCTGGGCTCTCTATTCTTTTCCATTGGTCTATGTGCCTATTTTAATGCTAGTATCAAGCTCTTGTGGTTGCTAAGCTTTAGTTTGTTTTGAAGTCCGGTAGTGTGATATCTCCAGCTTTGTTCTTTGTGCTCAAAATTATTTTGGCTATTTGGGGTCTTTTAAGTTCTATATTAATTTCAGGATTTTCTTTTCCTATTTCTGTGAAGAAAGGCATTGTTATTTTGATAGAGACTGCATTGAGTTTGTATATTGCCTGAGTAGTACAGACATTTTAATAATATGACAATCTCACTGCTGGGTATATTATAGGCAAAGGAAATGAAATCCATATGCTGAGGGATATCTGCACTCCCAAGTTTATTGCAGCACAACTGACAATCGTAAAATATAGAGTGAACCTAAGTCTCCATCAGCAGACAAATGGGCAAGGAAAATGTGATCATAAGCACAATGGAATGCTAATTAGTCATAACAAGAATGAAATCCTGTCATTTATGATAATATGGATGATCCTAGATGATATCATGTTAAGTGAAATAAGTCACACACTGAAAGACAAATATTGCTTGATTTTACTCACATATGGAATCTAAAAAAGTTGATCTCATAAAATTAGAGAGTACAATGGTTGTTACTAATGGCTAGGATGGTTAGGGGGGAGAAGGGAATGGGGAGATGTTAGTCCAAGGATATATAATTACAGTTAGGTAGGAAGAATATTTTTTAAATGTATCCAGAATATGAAAATATATAGGGATGGAAAACAGTTAAGTGATTGCCTGGGATGGGGGTTGGAGCAGGAAGAAGAAGGTGGATTGTGGGAAAAAAATGGAGGATGACTACTATTGGTTATGAAGTTTTCTTATTCAGATGATGAAGATGCTCAGAAACAGATATGGTGGTAGTTACACAACTTTGTGAACATACTAAGAACCTTCTATTGCCCATTTTAAATAAGTGATTTGTAAGATATGTGAATTAAATTTCAATAAAATTATTAAAAATAAATATTATTCTGGTACCCCCTCCTCCTAAATAGCAAGTAACCTAACATTCATGTAATTAGAGACAGAAAAAGTGAGAGTCTAAGAGCTATTTGAAGAAATAATGGCCAAAAATGGTCCAAAATTTGTTGAAAACTATAAATCATGGATTCAAGAAGCCCATCTAACTTTGAGTAGGGCACACATGAAAACCACACTAAGGTTCACCCAAATTAGATCACTAAAATTCATGAATAAAGACAAACTCTTTGGGACAGGCAAAGAAATAAAGGTACATTAAGTACAAAGAAATAAAGATGAGGAGCCACATAGCTGACTTATCGGAAATGATGCCTGTTGGAAGACAATAGAGAGCACCTTAAACGCACTGAAATAACAACAAAACATAAAACAGGTCAACCTAAAATTCTATTCTCAGAAAAACAAGGTGTTTAGAAATGAAGGCAAAAGAAAACTTTTTAAGACAAACATTGAGAGAATCAAGCACTAGCAGATCTGCAACCAATGAATGTCCAAGGAATCTCATTAGGGCCAAAAGGAGCTAAAATAAGAAATCGAGACTATCAAGCTTTAAGCCAAAGAGGCAAAATATTCATATCATCATCATTATCATCACCATCACCATCATTATATGTAAATATTGCATATGACATTCATAATAAAGTTACATAATAATGCACTACTATTTTATATAATTCATATTTATTGTATTACATCATTAGATCATCCTTACATATTGATAATAATTAGTAGTACTACTACTAGTAATTTACTATTGCTGATAACAAACAGCAAAGAGTACAAACAGCAATTTAAAAAACACACATTTATTTTCTCTGTTTCTGTGGTCATAAATCCAGACATGGTGTAACTGGGTTCTCTGCTCGGGTCTCACCAGGCGCTAGCCATGGTGTTGGCAGGCTGCCTTCTCCATGGGAGGTATTACTAGGGAAGAATGGGCTTCCAAACTCATTCCGATTTTAGGCAGAATTTATTTTCTTGTGACTGTATGGCTGAGAGCCCTGAATTTATTGTTTCATTTGGTTGGCTTCAGTTGGAAGCCTGGATTTTAGAAGGTACCACAGTTCCTTGCAACAGAAGATTCCTCAACACATTTGTTTATTTAATGACATCAACAAGGAGATTCTCTTGCTCTCATCTGCTACGGAGGATTCTTAGAGAATGTAATTAGGGAATGACATCCCATCACTTTCATCATGTACTATATCATGTAGATCCTAACAAAGGCTCTATCAGCTTTGCCAGACTATTTTTGCGAGGGGAGAGATTTTTGCTATGGGGTGTGTGCACTCGGGGGGAGAGATTTTTGCTATGGGCTGTGTGCACTCACCAGAGAGACAAATACTGAGAAATCACCCGTTATGGAGAATGGCCATACTGCACTCCCTTCTCTTCCATTCTTGCCTCAGGATTTAGGGCGTGCATACACATGTGCCTGGCGTGACTTTCAAGCCTCTAGGTTCAGAACTCAAACTGTGGTCAACCATGGGGAAGTCCAGCAATGTAACCGTTACACCATCTACTGGTCCCCAGCTTTGCCAATTTTGTTGGCTAGGAGGAAGTCTCAGTTTCTACCCACAGTCAAGGGAAAGGGATTACACAAAGGCATGGGCACTAGAAAGTGAAAATTCTTGGAGCCCACCTTAGGGAATGCTTGATTAGCATTACAAAAATCCACTCTCTTAGAGAAAGGAAAATGTATTTAATTTTGAAAATGTTCCTCCATCAATCTAATTAGGTCTTGGTAAATTTCTTGGTATGCATCCTGCCCGAGGTAAAAATCCACATGATTGTAGTGTGGAATCACCTTGTTATAAATAAGGTTGGCAATTTGAGGGAGTAAATTTTCAACATCCTTGGGATCAGCCAAAATGTCCTGTCCACCACTCCACACTGCTGTTGGCACTTCCATCTGAGTAACGTTGTACAAAGGAGGTGTAAGCTAAATACAATAAAAGAGATAGAAACACAAAATTTTACAGAAAACTACATTATAGATGTAATCTTAACTATCTATCTGTTGAGCATGTTCTTCAAATCCTAAAAGTGTACAATTAATATACATGAAATGCACTGAATATATATAAATGCTTAAATGTTAAAAATATTAGAAAGCACTTTTGTGCAATAATATGAATAAAAATGACAACTGTTATATTTCTGACTTGTACTTTTGGGAAAATAATAAAGGATCTTAGAGGAAGAGGATTCTTATTTCTATGGGGTTCATCTTTCTAGTATCGCTTGATCTGAAAGTGTGATCTTTTCAATCAAAAAAGTTGGAAAAGATAAGTATCCTTTCTTTGTGCAAAACTGGGCTGACCCTAAGTCCTGACACTGAGGCATCAGCCACACCTTCAGGAAGCACTAAGGCTTGTGCATGAAAAGAAACACTTGAGTCATCAAATATGCATTTCTTAAAAATTTTGATACGAACAGTTTTACTGTTTTATTTTTTTCTCCTGCAACTTTTTTTTTAATTACTTAACATTCATTCTCTGAGCATCATCACAACATACTAAATGTGGTTTCCCATCTAGAATAATCATGCATGTTATCATCAATAATATTCCATTTCTACTTTCATACTTATGTATATATGTATGTGTATATATATATATA